TTGATTTTAAGAGATACATGTAACTCTTTGATAAGAATCGATCTCTTGATATGAAAGGAAAATAATAAATTCTTCAATATAGTATCATGTCACTAATTACTTTTGAATACATTGTATATTGATAATTTTGTCACAGTCCAGAGAATTCTTTTTTTTCCAATGGTGATTGTGTTAATTTTTTTTAAGTCTTCTGTAATTGTGACTAAGTTCAAAAGAAACCATCTAAATATTCTTATCTATTGATGGCAATTCTTGTGAATATCTTTAACAGTTATACAGAAGATGTCAAAGAACGCAGTAAATTCACCAGATTTGTATCCATTAAGTTAAATTCGGTTTTGTTTACCTTAAACGGAACCCAATTGCATCATCTCAGGTCTTTCCGTCAGAGGTCGAAAAAAAAAACAACTTCCAATGTATTAACATCACCGATTGTTAAAAATTTACACAATTTCTGCTTATTCAAATATAGGATAGAAGGAATAAGAAGTCCCTTCTACAGTATATCTTAGGTAATATCATTTCATTGAATAAAGTTTAACTCCATATTCCACGAAGGAAAGGTCTCAATTTATTTATTTTAAAGATCGTGAAAAAGAGGGGTTGTCATGGCGTCTTCCATATAAATTCCAGGTAGTTTTTCTGCTAGTAAAAAAGGCCCGAGAAGTTGCGATTGAAACGGAACCATCAACCGAGAGCTCTGTCGGTAGAGCGCTCGCTTTGCGATTGCCATAACAAATCAAAGTACTGAAAGAACTGGGAAGCGCTAAGCATTGTTCAACTAAACCCGCCTCTTGATAGATAGTTAGATAGATAGATATTTATTTGGTATACTACACATACGTTGCAATATTTTTGAAAGACATGAATTTATATATATGATTCAAATAAGATTATATTTGTATACCAAGGATAACCCATGAAAGCCAATGGCTTATTTCCAATGGGATCCTTATACTCATACATGTATATTAATTGGATGTTAAATAATATAAGCAGATAAATATAAAATTAAAATACTATAACTAAGATATGGGATCAAGTTGACAACACAGAGATCCTTAAAAATGAAGTGCATTATGAATGTATACCAAATATGCACATGATTGTAATTGGAGTCTTATTGATTGCCTTGACTGCTATACGTTAAATAAAACCGAGTGTAAGTTTTGTTACTTAAATAAAGTGAAAAAAAAATAACAAAGTGTTGCATAAAACTCTGCATTAGCTGGAAAGTTTTCTTTGTTGTTGTTTTCTTTGGGGGGGGGGGGTGAAAAATTTTGAATACAAAAAAAATGTTGCTGATATCCTTCTCTTAAAGTAGAGAACACAAAACCTTTGAATGAAAATTTGGAACAATGTATAATTCTACTCTCAAGAATATGAAGGATATTTTTCGTACTAAAATTCAAAATTGGCTGTCGGCGACTTTATTGTTATCATCGGCCGCAGGGATGATCCGTCTATTGAGTTATTATTTTTTATTTGTTCCATCTTTAATGATAAAATATATTAGGATTATGAATTAGCGATTTTTAAAATAGCATAATATTTTGTTTGAACTGTTTTAAGCATATTTTAATATTTAATCCTCCTCATAAATATTTATAAAGTTAAAATTTATATAAATAAGGTTTTACAAAATAAAAATTCCTAGCATATGACCCTGTAATATATACACACAATCATTAGAAGACTTATTTTCTGAGTATATAAATAATGAATTGAACTTTTAAATTTTGTTTTGAATATGCTACATTTGAATAATATGATAATAATATTTTTAATATTTCACATTTATTGTGATACCAATCCAGCCTCGCACAACATATTGCTACCATCATGTAACAAAAATCCCCGAAGATTTTATAATTGTGGACACGCCCCCTTCGATATATTCAACCCCAGGGCTTGTTTAACATTTTTTAAACAAATTATATCTATTACTCTTATTCATCATTTGTACAATATGAAGGGGGATTCCTGTCCACAAGTACCCGTTATCCTTCATCTCTGACACTCTCACATATGAATTATAATTTATTTTTACCTAAATTTAAAAAAAAAAAAGCTTGGCCATGCATTCTGTTTCTCGTGTTATATTTGAAGCAGAATTGACAATATTTCTTTTTAAAATAAAAATGTTAGTTAAATCACATACTCTTCTATTTAGAAAAAAAATATATCACATTGAAATTCGTTCGTATTTTTCTTGAACTCATTTCGGCGAAAATACTTTTTAAAAAAATATTCAGTTTTTTAACACCCAATCGTTCAGTGAAATGGATTTTTTTTGCATCAAAATATTTTGTTACAGATAAAAACTACAAAACAAGTATAGACTTTATATAAATGCGTTCAAGTTTGTACTGCTAAAAGATAATTTGATGCTGTGAAATCATTATAATTGATTGCCTTCTGTGTAATGCGGTTTGTTCCCATCTTGCCTTAGCTGTAAAATTTAGCATTCACATTTCGCCTTAGAAAGCTCTCAGGTGAAATAATGTGATGAAGATTGAATATATATTTAGCATCAAGTATTTTTGGGTATTACATTTTTCATTTCATTCACTGTATTCATAAATTCCAATTAACTGTTAAATTCAATCTAAAATATTTTATCATTTAAATTTTTATATCAACCCAATTATATTAACAAATGCTAAAATTCCCATTTCGCCTTAGTACTTTTTTTAAAAAACTTTTTCTTACCTGGATTTCACAGTAAAGGCGAAATGGGAACACACCTGTAATGCAAGTGTGATAATAAAAATCCTCGTTTGTATAAAATTTACATTGTTTGAAATAAAGGCTTATGTAGAAGAGGGCGTGAAAAATTATGTAGCGAACTACAAAATGTAGATACAAATTAGATATAGAAGCTAGTTTAATAAATATTTTTTTTATGGAATTATGCTTCTAAAAGATTTAATTCCAATTTGAATTTTTAATACTCATTGATATTTTGAGCTTAATGAGATTTATATACATGTGCGCATAAATCTTTTTTTGGTACTTGTATTATATAAACATGTATGGTCATTAGTTTTTCGAATTACCACTACAGAGATTACATGTACATTTGTGACATAATGAGTGTTTGCCAGCATACTTATTAATACGCACCATATTGTTAAGAGATAAGAACCGCGCGCCCCTTATCCCCTACCGCAGGATTTCCGTACATATTAATATCGACTGTACTCATTAACGCCTATTATGATAACTCCTTCACTAAAGTAGCGGACAGTGGGTCGGGAATTGTTAGACGGCTCAGTTGAGTTACATAACTTGCTCAGCGGCGCTGTATTATGTATCACTCCGCGTAATATAGTTCGTCATTTTGAGAATATACAACATTAAAATATATAATTTATATATAATCAACCATATTAGACCAAGGAGATAAATTAGGTCAACAATAGTAGCCCTTGCAAAGGCATTATAGAACCCATTTGTTTACATAATTATCATTATTAATGGAGGGCGGGTCAGGGGTGCGTTCAAGATCTTAGTGCTAGATGGATATTAGGTACAGATACGAAATTTGAATAAGAATAGCAGCCACGTAAATAATATAGATAATAAATATTTATGCTAAGTTTGAAATCCTATAATCCTACTTGGATAACACTTTGCATCATGCGACATGCTGTATATACCGGTATACTAACTGAAGGAATGTTCTATATCTAATCGTAAAGTCTCGTGACACACATTCAATTTTTGCAAACATCAGTTATGGATGTAATAATTGTATAATAGAATTAATTTTAACATCTTAACCAGCTGTCTTTTCAAAACAACTGGGTATGTAGAATATATTAAACTACGTGTAAGTTTACTAGGAACTATGGTATTGAGTGCAGCCATGACATATGCCGTCGGTAGATGGCGTTAAATAAAAGATCGTGAAAATCTGAAGACACCCTATTAATCGCTTGCGCATGCGCGCTTAGCGCTTAAAAATACTCTTAATTATAATGAATTTCCTTGCTCTATTTAAAACTACGTACATGTACACATGTATAGTGTACATATATGTACATATTTAAGTGCGGTATCTTTAAGGTTAAATTGCAAGTATGTGTGTGGAGGAGGGGGAGTAATCAAATAAATAAAATATTTTTATCTGCTGGCTTTTGATTAATCATATTAATAAACAAACATCTACAGGTAGTGCAGATAATTCAAGTACGTTTTTTAGGCCAGCAATGGTAGTAAGAATATATAAATTTCTGTTTTTCTTCTGGAGATCAGTGTAGATACAATTAAACTTAATAGTATACACGATTTTCTAAGAATCGCAATAGATTGGACTTATGTGTGATATAAAATTTATAATTGTAGAGAAAGTTCTTCCTTTCAAGAATAGAAAAAAGAATTATAAAAATGTACCAACCTTCCGTCGAAATGACAACTTGATTATGACGCAATAAAAGATTGAAGTTTTTCATTAAGTGATTTATCGCAAAAAAAATTCACAATCTTCTTTGAAGAACAGTGGACGTGTATGTATGTTATTTTATTGATCAATAGACCAACATCCAGATATATTGGGGGCGATTTTAGGATTGGGAAGGGGAAGATAATTTGAAAAAAAAAAATGATTTGTACAACTGTACTCGTATTTTATATAAATTTCAGAAATAAAATCCAAAATCCAAAATTAACTCAATAATACTTAGAATAAAACTCAATAAAGTTATTTCTCCTTATATGTAGGCACTTGCATATGTAAAAATAACAAGATTAACATTGGATTTATTAATGGAAATCTTTAAAAGCATTAAGTAGACCAAAGGCTACTTAAAAAACTGATGTGATTCATTGACCTTTCATTTTACTGTTGAAGTTAAAGCATTAAATCTATAATTCCATGCAGAGATTTCAATATAAGAAAAACCTATTTCCATTTCGAAATGCAAATCGCCAGCTTTATTAAAAGACGTAAAAGCTCTGCAGGTTTCATAATGTCACTGTAAGTGACGGGCACTAAAATGACTTTGAAATATTATTTCAATGTGCTATTGCTAATTTATTTTCTAACTCCTAATGGTTCTGTTGCAACAAGTCGACTTCAACTTTTCAAGGATGTTTTAGATAATCATGATGCCCGTGTTGCTCCATTTGATACAACAGCAGAAGCTATTCCGCTGACGGTTCATATAAATCTTATGTCCATTCGTGGAGTAAGTGAAAGGGAACAAACGTTCTCCACATCTATGTGGTTGACTCTGGGATGGATGGATCATCGACTAAGTTGGAATCCTTCTTCATACAAAGGTATAACCTCTATCATTGCAAATTCCAAAAACGTATGGTCTCCGAGTTCTGTCTGCATTTACAATGAAGTCAAAAGTGAAAAATGTTTAACTGAAGACAATCCAGTTACCATCATGAATATAGGTTGGGTTGCATATACTACAACCCGTGAAAGTGTTACACAGTGCACATTAAATATCAGAAAGTATCCCTTTGACTCGCATGTGTGCTCAATATATATTGGAAATCTATTTGAAGTTTCAGAGTTTCTACTTCCTCAAGAACAATATTCAACGATCAGTCTAACTCACTACGAGAAAAATGAAGAGTGGGATATTACAAATTCTTTTTCAAGCCTTCATCAAACATATGATGCATCTCTCAACTTAACCCTAAAACAACTTCATTTCCATGTGGAGATTAAACGAAGATACACTAATGTGATTCTTTCTGATTTGCTTCCAATAATTCTGTTATCTGTTCTTAATATCTTCTGCTTTTTGCTGCCTATTGAATCAGGAGAAAAGATGGGGACTTCAATGGCGATATTTCTGACGTTTGCAGTGTTTTTAACGATAATTAATGAATCGATGCCGAAGTCAGACGACACTCCTTACTTCTCGGCTTACCTGCTTACCCAGGTCCTAGTAAGTGGGATAACGGTGGTACTAGAGAGCATTGTCCTCCATGTTCATTTCCAATCCTCTGAAGATACATCAGATAACAAAGTTGTCCCCCTTGATGTGGATGAAAAAGTGGATGAAAAGGAGACAAAACGGAGAGTTTGCAAATTTTTAAAAATCGATGCAAAGAAACTTGACAGAATATTTATGATATCTATTGTTATAATAAATGTAGTTTCGTTAATTTATTTTTTGGTGCAATGTCAGTAACTTTTTACACGTTCATCCTCAATTAAAACTATTTAAAAGTTATGCTTCTTGTAGAGTGATTATATATGTTAAAAATTTATATGAAGGTTAAGTCCGACAGTTTATTTTAAATGAAGGGATTATCAATCAATCGCTGGGTTTAAGCAAAGAACATTCTTAGAGAATGGATATTTAAATAAAACGTTTTTGATATATTTAAACCCATGACTGCGTAAGACACACATACCCAGTTTGTTTTCAGATAAATTAAAAAGGTTTATCGTTCATTCTACAAAGAATATTGCAAAATAACCACAAGCAAATAGCATTTAATTATTCCCCTCTTTTCCCCCTTGCAATTGAGAGCAATACATATAGCATGTAAGGAGTATTATTCTTCGTTACTCTCTATGGATAAATAATCCTAAACGGAATAAAATATGTAAAAGACTTGTGTTGATTTAATAGAATCATTCATTACTACGAGTGTGGGATAGTGAAATTCCACCGAGGGGACAAGATTCACAGTCTAGGACGAGGCTTTGCCGAGTCCTAGACCGTGAATCTTGGCCCCGAGGTGGAATTTCACTATTCCCACACGAGTATGTAATGAATGATTATTTTTCTCGCATTATTTTATCCAAAATAACGGCCTGTCAATGACGTCGCCATGATGGGCCTAAAAAAATATTTTTAATTTTCCATCTAATTAAAAATCTGAATACACCATCGGAGAGAACGTACCTGAAAATGGTTTACACGTAGTGTAAACTGATAAAATAATTTTCAGTCCGTGTAAATTAATCAGAAAGATAAAAACTGGGAATAAAAAACTTATCTATCCGACAGCGTAAAAGAAGAATCATTCCGCGATCTAAAAATAGTGCCATTAAAAAAAAGTGAAAATACGACAATATTTTGAATGAAAGTAAGTTTATATTAATAAGTTAAATGACAACAGTTTAATTATGTGTTATATTTTTTTACTTTGTTACAATTTCTTTATATAATGACGGAATGTTTACGTTCTCGTTCGTGGCGTAGTAATACACAGTGTAAGACAGAAAAATCTCACACTGCTGTCTCACACCGGACAGGTCAATCTTACACTGGTGATTATGCGAGAAAATTTCTTCCAACACAATCAACTAGCTGTTGAATGAGATTTGAACATAATGATACATTTAGATTTAATAAATAATTGATGTAAGGAAAAAAAAATAACCGCAAAAATATAGGGGTAGCGGGATAGAAGGGAGAAAATATAATCATTTGATAGTTTGAAGCACCTTCATGCAAATATGGAATTATATACAATTATGGACGCTTTTGGTGTTGAATATGGTTTGTTATTCACCAGAAAAATATTCATATTGACCTTCGCCTCGGTCAATATGAATATTTTTCTGGTGAATAACAAACCATATTCAACACCAAAAGAGTCCATAATTGTTTTATTATATAGTCGGGATTTGAATAGATGAGACATTGAAGGCTGTATGACGACACCATTTTCATTTGCGATCTTCCAATGTTGAAAATGAAAAAAAAAAATCTCCAGATTACTGTTTGTAACCTCCTTGTTTTTCTTTCCGAGTTTCGCTATGTGTAAGACGTCCAAATGTTAAAAAATAATCCTGAAATGGGTTTGAATAATTGTTTTTCTGCTCAGATACGAAGCTCGCTGCGGCCGTTGCAACCATTGTTTACAACGTTGTTCGATGTTTTGATTGTGACGTCACAATGCCGTTGCACGCGCATTGACCCTCCGGTGAATACGGCCTAAAATCCGGTGAATATGTAGTGTTATGAACTGTTTGCGTTCGTATAGATTATAAAGGGACTATAAATAGACTATATAATAAATACAATTATTTTCATTACTTGTGAACGTTTTATTATCTCTATCTGAATCAAAGCACCACTAGGAAAGCGATTGACGGCTTTTCTTTTGTTCTTATTGCACGTAAGTCAAGTAACTTCATCACATCGAATAATTGAATTCAATTTAGGCTAGCATGTTTTGTTTGGGTCAATTTAGACAATTAATTCATTGAACTTCGAAAGCCGGCTGATAGAATTAATTACAGAGCTGGATTTTAAACCTTACTAATGTCAATACGTGATGCCTGCTAATGATGTAAAATTATAAAATTTTAAAATGAAGTAGTAGACGAAGTTATAATAATTCTTCTTCTTAATTGACCCGTAAATAAATTTAAATACCTGTAGAGTAAAGTAGTTTTTATTCTCTTTGTTTACTCAGCAATTAATATAATTCTGGTAAATAAACATAAAGTTAATAGTTCCTTTAAATATTCAACCCTGATTTCAAACCCGCAAGAACGGATCTACAAGAAGATTTTATATTAGTCTTAAAAGTAACTAAATGATTGACGTGTCAAAGTAATAGAGAAATACAAATATTTACAAAAGGACATCTCAAACTATAAACATTCCTTTCAGACCCTGATTATTAGAGAATATTAAATCAGTTGTTTAATTTTGTGATTTTACCAATTCTCACGTCCTGATAAAATATTGACAATCAGATTTCACTGATCGATTCTGGATTGCAAAACTGCCTTGAAATCAACCATTTTATCGTAACTCAAGGAAAATTAGATTATTCTCAAAAATGACAAAGTTGTATTTCTCCTTGTTGGTTGCGTTTGGCCTACACTACTTATGTTCTGCAACCAACAGATCGCAACTTTTCAAGGATGTCTTAGACAGTCATGAAGTTCGAGTGGCACCATTTAATACTGTCAGCGACAAGATTGTGTTATCAATACATTTAAATCTTATGTCAATTCGGCAAGTGGATGAGAAGGAACAGACATTTTCAGCCTCTTTTTGGATTTCAATGACATGGCCAGATCACCGCTTTATATGGGATTCAACGTCTTACAATGGAATAACCGAACTACAAACAACTTCAAAATATGTCTGGATACCAAGCTCAATTTGTATCTTCAACGAAGTTACGGATAAAAAATGTTTAACAGAGGAGAAACCCGTAACAATACATAGTTCTGGGTATGTTGTTTATACAACATCCAGAGAAAGCATTACACAGTGCAAAATAGACATCAGAAAATACCCTTTCGATTCACAGGTCTGTTCGCTGTTTTTTGGAAATTTCTTTACAACTTCCGAATTCATTGACCTAGGAACGACATACTCTGCATATAGCTTGACCTACTATGAACAAAACGAGGAATGGAACGTAAATGATTTTGGTATAACTTTAGACAATAATCAACTGGCATTCAGTTTGGGCATCAAGCGGAAACCGGAATTCATTGTCTTGACCGTCCTTCTTCCAGTAATTATTCTCTCCGTTTTAAATATTTTTGCATTTGTATTACCAATAGACTCTGGTGAAAAGATGGGTACATCGATGGCGATTTTCTTATCCTTTGCTGTATTTTTAAGCACCATTAACGATACAATGCCAAAGTCGGATGAGATTCCACCATTCACCGTTTATCTGACCATACAGCTAGTAGGCAGTGGCCTCACAGTGGTCTTAGAGGCCGTGGTGCTACAAGTTCATTTTAGTTCCTGTGAAAATGAAAACAAGTCTGATAACAAGATAGTTCCTGCAGATTTGCCAGATATTACAGATATCGATAAAAAAAAAGTTCCTGAGGATTTTGACATTAAGGAAACATTGTCTCAAAAGGGTAAAAATATTAAGAATTTTATCAATTTTTTAAAAACAAAATTAACAGCCAAAGTTTTGGACCGAATATTCATGATACTTGTTATTATTGTTGATGTTATTTCTCTAATAGTGTTCTTTGCACAAACAGCATAAAATAGGAAATATCCTGGTATTGCAGATACTAAAACAATTCTATTGTAAGGTGTCATGTTTTGGATGTTTTTAAAGGCATAAATTTATGACTCTCATTAATGCAGAATAATGATTTAGTACTCATCTTCATCGAACTCTGCCTAACCTTACAATGAAGATCTTGGAAGATTTATCATTTGCACTGAAGGTCAGAGTGTTTATGGAGATTTTTGTCCCGGTTTCTTTTTTTCTATACACGATAGCAAAACTAAAGCCCTTTTATAGAGTAACAAGTCAATTGACTGTGACGTGCTCTGTGCGTTATACATGATTATAATACATTGTTACTCACATTTTCCTTGGTCTGCTCATTTTTGGGGCTCTAATCATTTAGCTAGCCTTCTTACTTTTCAGACTATAATACTCCTCTTACATTGTACATGCATTTTGTCTATCACATTTTAGTAAATTTTGCAGTTGTTTGTGAATTGTGTCAGTACGGTTAATTTTATCTGTCTTATTTATATTGTATATACATGATTTTGAGAACTCTGTCATTTTAAAGTTACATATTAAAGAAATGATCTCCAGTCCTTTACCAAATTTTATGTCTTATAAAAAAGGGGTTATAAAATTAATGTTTTATCAGATATTTGAAACATGTGTATCAACAGATTATATTAGCTAAAGAAAGAGGGACCACTTCCAAGCGATGTGGGATAGTTTTATACGCTGAAAACGAATGATAAGAAAATATAATTCTAATAATGACTCTGATCATTCATATCAACCATTTTTATTTTTTATAGTGCATTCATTCATTTAGGGAACAATAAAGAAAATCGCACGAAGCTATTAAATGACTCAATTTTTATCGCTGGAATTTTTTAGACTAAATTCAGACTAAACTATACATAAGTAGATTTATCTCAAGATACATATTCAAGTGTTAGAATCGGTAGTGATAAATCTTTAAAAAGAGGACTCTTGAGCTCGAATACTGTTTGTGATCTCCAAATATCTTATACAGATCAACGAATTGGCCTAACACACAGATTTCTTGAAATTCAAGATGGGATCAGATGCTTTGGAAAAAGTAATTATCCTTTGTAAACTGGTTACACCCGCCGGTGGCCCTATGCATTTATCAGCGCAGTCAGATCTTGTAAAGAATAAAAGCCTTTAATTTATTAAAAAAAGACCAACCAAAATACGACCT